ATCCCCCGGTCGGAAGAACACCCCTACGCGAAAGATTAATTGCTCTCCCAAACCCCAGACCACCCGACCGTAACAATATAATTGCCAATAATTTCTTTACACACTGTAGATTTGTGACGCGTAAAATGCAAAATAAAGCACGAGTTAAATTTGATACTTTTGTGTTTATTATTATTTCTGCTCTTCGAGAAAAGTATTCACATAGTGATGCCATCTAAGCAAGAACTTCAACAACAAACCATATTACATTTGTGGAATGAGGGTGTACGGGATGCCAACGAAATACATCAATGCATGAACATACCCCCCTCTACTGTGTATAACAACTCAAAAAATTAGGAACAGTAAAGCATGCAGGTTGTAATGGTCGACCAAGGAAGATTACAGCAAATGCCTCAAAAGCATTAGGACAATATGTTCGCAGGGATTCCTCTATCTCGACAAGAACTTTAGCCACAAAGCTATCGAATATAGGTGTAGAGGTTTCTTATAGAACAGTTGGAAGGCATTTGGTCGATGCTGGATACAAGAAAAACCTTCCAATGGCCACTCCAATGCTCACTGACAACCATAAACGAAAACGTGTAGAATGGGCCATGAATCATCGTAATGACAATTGTAACAAAACCTTATTTTCGGATGAGACCGCTTTTCAACCCTTCCAAAACACAGTAGAACGCTGGTATAAAGGCGAACGACAAACCCGTTCTATCGTACAAAAATTTTTGCGTGGGAAGACAAGCTTATTTTGTTTTAAGCAAATATGGATACTAAATTCTATGTGGATATTCTCCGCAGACATACTCCAGAGATGAATCGCATGCTAAAGGGCAAATGGGAGTTTCAGCAGGATAATGATCCGAAACACACAACCCGTCTTGCCCAAGCCTTTCTTCGAGGGAATATGCCTGAGGTCATGGCTTGGCCGTCTAACAGCCCTGACCTAAATCCGATTGAAAATCTCTGGAGTATTGTTAAGGTAATGTGGAGAGCCGAATGCCAAAAAATCAAGATAAACTGGAACGATTTATGGTAGAGGAATGGGAAAATATTCAAGATTCTACTCTAATTAACTTAGTCAAGTCAATGAAACGACGTTGCGAACTTGTAATCGAAAAGAATGGAGAACGTATACCTTACTGGAAATATATTAATAAAATCACCTGTAATGATAAAAATTTCATGTGATTTTGTTCACTGGTTGTGGCGTAATGAACAGTTTTGTCCCATAGAGGACATACAACTAAATAAATACTTCTGTTAACCCTATCATATTAATATCGATATAATAAAACTGAACAAAAAGTATCACGTGCGAAGCACAATTCCAATAACTAGTTAATATTGAAAAATGTAACGTTACATGGAATCACGGGCTGCATTTGGAGGGGTTGACTGACCTTCCACTGAAAGGATCATGTCCGCCCAATTATCATCAGAACGCTCCTTTTCTCAACTTTTCCGTCAATCTCGCCTTGCAACGTACGATCCGACTCTACCACAAGTTTATACGACTTATGGCCCTTTCAAGAAACAAGGCGACTGGGGCTTGAAACGTAACCTTCCGAAAATCCTCCGTACTAATGTGATCACTGTACAAGCTCTCGATACTTCCGAACATCAAACGCCATTTCGCTCTGCCCAGAAACTCGTGCGATTTACTAGAAAATGGAAAGAGAATTTTCCGTGGTCAAAATTCCCACCTCCCCTGAAAGATAAGGCCTTGAGGAACATAAGTTTGATGTCAGAGAAGCAGTTTGAAAAGTTTTTGAAAGAGGCAGAAGAAAAAAAACAGGAATGGAGGCAAAAGAAGAAAGAAACGTATTCCCCTGAAAGTTGGCTTCAGTTTATGAACGCCATAAATGAGAAATCTCCTCCCTCGGTCGTTGGCTTAACTTACTCCCATAATAACCCGGGAACAAACGTTCTCATCCAGGGTCGTGTATTAAACAAGGAACTTCTTGGATACGCAGTGGGTATATCTGGCATTGTTGCACATTTGCCGTCCCAAAAAGCCCTTCGCGTTGGTATTATTGAACGGGATAAAGTGGAGCAGTTTTACGTCGAGCAAGCCGAATTTAATGAAAGTGGAAGACTAGTAGTGAGACTTTCTCAATTGCCAACCGTTATTCGACAGGATACCTTAGGATATCCGGGTAGTTCACGACTTACGAAAGGTTTCCTTGATGAGGGTGCAAGACAAAAAGAGGCCCCTGATGTTCAAAAGGATCTGCTGGAGAAGATTAAACAACTGTCTGGTGGTAGTTATATCGGCATTGGTCCTGTGAGATTTCCTAAGCCTCAGAACATAAATATGCGGAAGGATTTCGAAAGTGATCAATCTAGCAGTGCAGCATTGTTTGGTCCTGATGGGCTGTTTGCTAAAAAATCGGAAGATAGTAATATAGAGATAGATAAAGCAAAAAAGGCAAGTGATAAGTTAGAAGTAGACGATTATCTTGACCTAATGGAACAGATTTCAATTAATGATGAAAAGAAGCGAGATGATGGAAATAAAGATGACTCATAATAAATGGACTTTGTCTGAATTTTAAGATTATCGATTCGTTTCTTTTCTTCTCTCTCTCTCTTTTTTTTTTTGTAGATTTCGTCTTGGAGAGATAAATATTTATCATGGAATTAAAAGTGAATAGAACACCAATTTAGTTGACGGCGGGAAGAACGAATAAATTATTATTGATTACAGAATTCTTGCCATGAGCAATTACATTGTTTTGTTTCGTTGACAGTTCTTAATGTTAACGATATTCTTTCACCCGTTCTCTCACTCGACCGTCATCTAGTAAATCACTTTTACGCGCTCTATCAACGATGGAAAAGTAATTGAAGAACCATGGTTAATAAATTTGTGTTCACCATGCATACAATCCTTCACCCTTCCAGCACCATTGCCGACCTTTGTGTCAAGTCCACCTCCATCACTCCCGTTCTAAACTCTGGCACCTAGACTAAATACAACTATGACATCTCCAAATGCGGTGTGACTTTCTACGTGAGGTGGTATTCCTGTGCCAGGTGGATATAATTGAATCGTTAATTGTTGCATTTGAGGAAACGATGGGTAATAGGAACGGAGAAGGGAAAGGAGGGCTTGTTACGCCGATGCTGTTGAAATCGTAAAGCGAATTCATAGCCGTAATGTTGCTAGAGCGTGAAATGAGACAAGAACAACAAATAACCAGAAAATTGAAACTTTGAAAATTAGAATGTTGAACGGCGTACCACAAAGCGATCCTGAACAGAAGTCCATATCGATGATGAGAAGTTCTTTTATTATTTGCTCTTCGAGTTCTTTAGGAATACAGTTTCTTCCAAGAGAGCTAACCCTGGTACACTTGTTGTCGTAAGCTGTTTCATAAGTTGGTATAATTTCTATTTACATAGTCGACGAATGGTTGCATTCTCTGGTGAATCGAATAACAAGAATGAATACGGCCTTGATAAAGACAAACATATTCGATACTTGATTAAAATGCGATCCCGTTTATTGTTTTGAAAAGGAGAAAAAAAGAGAGGCTATTTACTTTACCTTTCCGTGCGTCAGTTTAGTTCCAATGCATCTAGCGTATTTCTGTTGATACTCCTCCTATTCCTCCGTAAGAAACATTCACCAAACACAGGTACTCTGTTGGATAATGTGAAAATAATTGGTCTTTTGCTCGAGTTCTCGAATTGTTCAATAACTTCGTAGGCTTGAGATTTCTTTTGATGATAGCATGACTGATAATAAAGGACATCGTATTTCATCTAAAACGACAATTCGGGATATTTTTATTGATCTGAATACACTGTGAGGTGGCCTTGCTTTTTTAACCCCAAGTATAACAATATGCAGCACTATTACAATATTGTCTCTGGGCGTCTTGTGTTCTTCTAGCCTTCAATGCTCGTGAACATTTTAGAGTCAGGTGTAATTGGTTTTTTGCTGCGAGTATATCTACTCTAGTATATGCAGATAGTTACTTCGGTTAATCCACAAGATGTTTCGCAACCGTTCGCTTAGGCAAAAAAAAAATTTAATTTTCAATAGGAATTGCTATTTAGAATACAAATCATCCCAATATTACTATATATTAATGGGGTTTTTTATTCAATGCGTTATATGAAATAATAACATTTTGATGTTTCTAATGATGGAATAGTCGAACGCTTGTATGTACCATCACTAAATCGTTCTCGTCTGCCGCGCTTACAACATAGCTATCTTGGATGGAACCGCTTGGGGCAGCAATATAGGAAACTCCAGATTGGTATGCACGATAGACACTATCAGGGAACGGAAAGAATGCATCAGACGACAATGCAACTCCTTTGAGAAAAGCTAAATGAGCTTTTCGTTCTTCTGCTGTTAACATCTCGGGAACAGTGTTGAATAGTGATTCCCAATACTCTCGCTCAAGACCCTGTATAATCGCGTATTGAATAAGTAACAGCATAGTCTCGGGGATCGCAAAAATAAAAATATTTATAGTACGCGTTGACCGACCTCTCCAATTTTATCCAGAATATAAAGATCAATCGCGTTGCTTTTATATGATCTTTTTATATCTTCCTTAAAGTCAAACGCAAGAACTTTGGGGTGCTGTCGTAACCACCAGTTATCCACCTTGTCGCCTGCTAGACGCGTACAATGAATGCGAGACTGTTGGCCAGCACCAAGACCAACGACCATACCATCTTTGGCATAACAAACAGAGTTGGATTGCGTGTACTTTAGTGCTATTGTAGCCACGATCAAATCTCTAATCGCTGATTCAGGTAGCTAAATGTTCAACAAATGATTTGTTAGTTACAATCCCAGTCTCGTCTAAAAACCGATGACAGCAAAACTTACATCTTTATTCTTGCTCACTATGTTTGAGAACATATCCGCATCGATTCGAGCATTATTTCGCTTTTGTTGGAGATAAATACCATATACTTGACGTGTTTCTATCTCAGATGGCTCATATTCTGGGTCGATCTATTATTGCAACATACAAAAAAATATGCTTCTACTAACAGTTAAATCCGAATATGGACAAAAGTGAGTCCTCTATACCGCAAACCTACCTGAAGAATTGTATACTTTCCGGATTTCTTTTGCTTTAATATTTCCAGTGCTTCGGGCTCATATCCAGGAGCAATTACACCATCTGACACCTATACTTACAATGAATAAACTCGTTTGCACTCTGATAAGAATACAAGTTACCGAGTGTGAACTCATTTACCTCTCGATGGATGACATTTGCAGTAGAAACGTCGACAATATCACTTAGTGCAATCCAATCCCCGAATGAAGACATTCTATCAGCACCTAAAGATTTTGGACATTGATGAGTTTCACATATCAACTCTCTTTAAGCCAACATTTTAAAATTTTACCTCGTGCGCGTGCATAGGCATTAGCTAAAGGGGTCAATTCTCCAAGATCATCAACAAAGTATGCCTTTTTCTCAACATCGGAAAGCGGAAGCCCGACGGCTGCTCCAGCAGGTGAGACATGTTTGAATGAGGCAGCAGCTGGGAGTTTCAATGCTGCTTTAAGTTCCTGCGATAAAGAAAGAAAGATCGTTCGATTGTTTGTAATTTATTATAAAAATTCGGATTTGCGCGATAGACACATACCTTGACTAATGGCCACGAATTGAGAGCATCGAGTATATTGATATAGCCAGGGGCTCCAGCAAGAACTGTAAGAACAAACACGTCTGTTTATTTACCCGCCTACTTATAAATTGTATCAAAGCAACAGTGTCCACTTACCTTTTATAGGTAATTCTCCATTCTTTACGAATATTTGTGCAGGTGTTTGATGAGGATTAGCACCATAGCGTAAGGCCATCTGAGAAACGTCTTTCGCATATTGTTGTCTAAAGTAATTTGAAATAGCATCGTCATAATCGGCAGTATGGCTGAATGCCTAGAATAGTTGATCAATCGCAGATTATTAACTATGAAACAAGCCCATTAATCAGATCAACAAAGCGCGATACCTTCAATGCCAATAGTTTTCGTGTGTCTTCGCTGACACTGCCATTGGCTTTTAATTCTGTTAAAAAGTTTGGATAATCTTTAGGGTCAGATAGTATAGTGACCCGATTATGGTTCTTCGCGGCGGCTCGCAACAGCGTGACCCCTCCTGTTGTAAATAGATAGATTGTTTGGTAAATAACCAACAAGGTCGGAGGAAAATAAAACAACATTTGTAAATTTGCCTGATTATTAATTACCAATGTCAATCTCTTCGACCGCTTCAGGAATTGCTATTCCTTCTTTTGCAACAGTTTCTTTAAATGGATAAAGATTGCACACTACGTAATCAATCTTTTTTACGTTCTGCTTAGCTAGATCTGCCTCATCGGATGGTATGTCACGAGCAAGTATGCCTGACGGTTTAAATATGATCCAGAACGTCGATGAATATAACGACACGATAAACGCGATCTATCAATTAGGACAATTTATTACCTCCGTGAACTGCAGGGTGTAAAGTCTTTACGCGCCCACCCAATATCTCTGGAGCATGCGTTATATCCGAAACATCACTATAGATTGCTTAGATGACGTATTGAGCGATAAAGTGTGACAGCAACCAGACACAATTGTGAAACTACTTGCGTTATTGGTATTCCGGCTTCACGAATTTTCTTTGCAGTGCCACCAGAACCAAGCAGACGAACATTGAGAGCGTGAAGTTCCTTTGCTAGTTCGATCAATCCAGTTTTATCATACACCGAAAGAATAGCTAGTAGCAAAATAAGGTAATTTATAGTAGGAATATGAAAATCAAATGTGAGGTTCGGTACGAACGCATAGGCGTTGTATTGAATCGCTTGCAAAACAGTAAGCCTATATATAGTATTCGAGACATTCGCATTGATTATAGTGCCTTATTTTCGTTATTATCTATTGCTATAACATTGCAAATTCAGAGAGAGTTCTTATACTTATTCACAAACGCGAAATTAGTTGTCACAATTTTCCTTGCATAATCAAAGCGTATTCATTTGGCCCAAAGAGTCCGTGGTGTATTGATTCAGAAACTGATAACATCACTTACCGATTCTTGGCTCGGACATGTTTGTCTTGTAATCGCTGTAAAGAATTTTTCGCCAAATCTCTGATAATCGTGGTAACACAGCAAATAATTACTGCTACTTAAAAATCACCGGATTATTCAAGGGTTTGCAGATCACGGCTCGTAACTACAGTCAACCCTCTCTATTACTATTAGTCACGCTGTCGGGAACAATGCAGTAATGATTATAGGAAAAACCCTCTATATAACAGTCAATTCGTATGCAGGGAAAACACCCTCACAATATCCAAATGGATTAACTTTTGTAAACTTTTATTTAGTTTTAACATCATCTACTTATGGCTAAGTTATGGGGGAGGAAATAAAGAGCGTTTGGGTCGAAAAGGTGAGAAGGAGAATGTCAAGAGGATACAAGATATTGAAAGCGAGAGGGAGAGGGGTAATAGTGATTTAATGGAAAGGATTTAATGGAAAAGATATAGGCCTGATGTAATGGGAAGGATATAGGCCTGATGTAATGGAAAGGATATAGGCCTAAGTTAATAATACACTAGTGGGATGACTTGAACCTGAATTTTGTTAACCGTTACGTTAGTGTCCAAAGGCAAGTTTAAAAATTTTCGTTTGTTCATGCGTTCCATGTTGATGAAAGGCTGTTACTTGAAAGAGACATTTCAATCAATCGAGCCCGTCTGCTCGCCGTTCGTCCGCTAGAGATTTCCCAGAGTATTACCCCAAGGCTAAAGATATCTGATTTCTTTCCACGTCTATATGACCTAAGTCTTAAAAGATACTGGATCCTTGTATTCTTGAGTCTGTGGATCTCGTTAAATGCGTGGTGTTGTCAACACGTTTCTTAGAAAGCCCATTCATACTCGGGCAAAAAGCTTTAAACTTTTTATCATTTTTTTGTAAGTAATGTCTTTTTTTTCTTCGTCTTTTTCGAATCAAGAAGAACGTGAAGAATAACATTGATATGGACGTGGAAAGTAGTTTGCTCTCTTGCATATTGGAATTGGGAAAGACTATCCTTCCCTCCCTGACGTATATATATGTAGCATCTGATAGGGGCGTTTATGCCGATCAGAATGTTCCTTTACAAATCAGAAGCTCTGCTGAGGAAAAAATTTTACAATGTTGGGGGTATAAACCTGTATGACTTATTTGTTTAATGAATGTAACACACTATTAATATTCGTGTCCTGATTGGCTATTATGAGCTCCAAGTAGATTCGAATAAAAATTATTCACTTATTCGGTTATCCGATTATTTCAGCGACTCGATCAGTGCCTTTAAAAATCAAAAAGAATTTACACGTCATCACATCAATGATTTACTAACAGAATCAAAATCAACCTACGCATGTTTCCTAATTGCAAGTTCCATTCTCATCATATACTGTATATCCGACAGACTCATGTTAATGTTTATCAACATGACGAACACAGAAATAGAATAAGAAGTAAAGTAATATCATAATTAACTCACTACTAGTGAACGTGAGTCTTTAGTGACAGATGACACCATCGTTTTAAACACTGAACTTCCGCGAACTCTATGAGAAAACTCTGCCACCCGAGGGACCGAATATTTTTGATGACAGTAATAATAGGTGTACTTGCAAGGCCCCCGAAATTGATATCTCACGCAATGGGAGTGGTGAACTTAGCAGAAACTCTTTGTCTTCTTGCGTCATTATCAATGGCAAGATGAGAACATGCGGCAATGTCTCCACTAATCAACGGCCTATTGCACACTTATTCGGTTGTTGGGAAATTGATAGGAATGAGTTCAAAAAATCTCGCGATAAAGGAATGTCCAGAGTCTACTCCCATGATAAAGCCAAGATGCATCCTCAAAAAGGATAACATTTTGTATTGATTCAGTCGAAAAGTCTTAGAGGCAGATCTCCCATACTCTGAAAAAATGGAGTCTCGTATCCGTTTCTTGCAGTCAACGTACCAACATGCTAAAGGTTATTCAAGTCTTGTCCAGATTGTGAAAGGACCTGTCTTCGCCAAAGGAGTATACGAGGTTTTAATGAAACAACTGAGAACTGAGAACGAATTACGAGAAGTGGCAAAGTGTGTGCTCAAACATCCATAGATTGATAATACAGTACAGCATTAATATTAATATTAATGTAAAGTTTAACATGACGAGTTTTATAACGCTTTAATAATCAACTGTATTTTCCACTTTTTGTAATAAATATTTCAATAAAGTAGACCATTTATATTATTTAAATTTCAATCAATGCCTTTATTTAAACGCACATATAGATTATACATGAATGATAAAATTTATATATAAGAATACCCGTATATGAAAAATTATAATTATAATGGTTCGATTGAAAATGAAAAGGCAATACGTTTCTTAGAGATAGGTTGCAATTGTGGTTGTTCACAAAAGATTCCGAGAGAAAAATTTGCCGAGTTACGTGAGGCGTTTCAAGCTCTCTCCAGACCCGAGCAAGATATTTTTTTAATGGCCCAATTGGAAGCAATGAATGGTGGAGAAATAACTGCCAGTCGACGTCTTAAAAAGAAAACGCGTTCTAATAAAGAACTTAGGATTAGTCGCATTCACTTCGAAAACGTCAGAAATCATCTGGCAACGAATGGCATGATGCCGCTTCATGGTAATGTAAAAAGAGTGCTGCGATGGAAGACCAAAATACTATTGATATCACCGTCACTACCGCTGTGAAGAATTTTCTCGGGAATTACGCTGAAATACATGGACTACCAAGTCCTGGTAGAAATGTCAACCGCATTACTCAATCGCTTGTACTTTTGCCATAGTTACAAGTCGGTCTATCGTGATTTTATTGCAGGTCTCGAAAACAATAGCACATTGAAATTGTTAAAATATAATACAATTCGCAAGTTATGGCACCAATTAACGCCTTATATTCAAATTATGAGTCCAAGAACGGATTTATGCGATACTTGTCAACATTTCGGAATGGCTTACAGTATAATGCTCGCAAGGAAGAAGAAGCAAGAAATTTGTTGAAAAAATACAAAGAACATTTAGTTAAGGCTAAATTAGAGAGAAACTATTACAACAAAAATACGAAATTAGCAGAACA